CTTAAAATCATTGCCGGTGTCAGAAACGAATATACCAGTATGGAATTAAAAGGAGCTAAAGCCGTTACCGCCGGCACTCCCGCAGTAACGACCATATCGGAATCCACTGTAACCAACAACTACAATGCCTTCCTGCCAATGCTTCATTTGAAGTATGCACTGAACGAAAAATCTAATTTAAGGGCAGCCTATACCCGAAGCTTTATCAGACCAAGTTTCGGAGATATGACACCGGGAACGTCGGTTGATAATACCAAAAACCCAATGGCGATCAGTCAGGGTAATCCTGATCTGAAGCCCACTTTTTCCAATAATTTTGACCTGATGGCCGAATATTATTTCGACAATATCGGTATCATTTCCGGTGGCGCTTTCTACAAAAAGATCAACGATATCGTATTTACAAACGCCAGCATGCAAAACATCAATGGCAGCGACTTTATGGTTACTCAGGCAAAAAACCTTAACAATTCCACGTTATTTGGTTTCGAGGCGGGCATCAATAAACGTTTTGATTTCTTAAAGGGTTTCTGGAGTGGCTTTGGAACAGAATTCAATTACACGTTTATCAATAGCAAAGTTAATGTCCCAAGAGGTACCGGCAACAATATCACCTTAGACAAAACCAGCCTGCCCAATCAATCCAAACATTTGTTTAATGCGATTCTTTTCTATGAACGCGACCGCATGATGGTCAGACTGGCTGGAAATTACCGTGGTTCATCGGTAGAAACGATCAATCAACAGCTAGGGCCCGACTTTTACATCTGGACAGCGGCCAATTTCACGATCGACGCCTCTGCAACTTACACCATCAATAAACACCTGAAAGCTTTTGTTGAACTCAACAACTTAAGCAACGCACCAGTAAAAACCTATATGGGCGATAGCCGGAGATTGACCATGAGTGAATGGTATGGTCGCCGCGGACAGGCAGGGATCAGATGGGACATCATCAAGTAATTCATAACCCATAAAAATCAAATTATATTCTCATGAAAAAAGCAGCATTATTTATCACTTTATTAATCCCCTGCCTGGGTATGGCCCAACTCGCAGACAGCACTAAACGATTGGTACACCTTCAAGGTGCATTAAACTTTCGCGATGTAGGCGGTTATAAAACCAATGAGGGAAAACAGGTGAAATGGAACAGGGTTTTCCGTAGTGCTTCAATAGCCGGGCTTACAGATGCAGATATGGATACGATCCGTAACAAACACATTTATACCGTGGTTGATTTACGTGGAAACAAGGAATCAGCTGCAGCGCCAGACCGCCTGTTGAAAGGAACGGATTATACCTTAAGCCCTGCCGGAAGTGATAGCCTTCCTTCAAGTGCCCAAATGATCGCTTACCTTAAAAAAGGGGATTTCCTGGACAGTTTTTACGGCGATGGGGGAATCCGCTATTTTGGGGAGCGTTACAAACCTGTATTTCAAAAACTGCTCCAGCTAAAAGACACCACCGCCTTACTTTATCATTGTACCGGTGGTCGCGACCGCACCGGTATGGCTACCGCTTTATTTCTTTATACACTAGGCGTTCCGCAGGAAACCATTGAAGCTGATTTTACCGCTTCTAATGTTTACCTCTTGCCAATGATGGGAAAAATGTTTGAGCCTATGGCTAAGGCTACAGGAATGAGCGGTGAAGAAATCAAAAAGAAAATGGACCTGCGTCCGGAGCTGCTGCAAATATTCTTCAAATCAATTGAAAAAAAGTACGGCAGTATTGAGAATTTCATGGAAAAAGAAATGGGTATTGGTAAAAAAGAACGCGCCATTTTACGGAAGAAATATACTTCATAAAGCGGTCTAAATCATTTACACGAATTTAGCAAAAGAGGGTGTACAGTACACCCTCTTTTTTTACAGGCTTACTTTTCAGCAGGCTTATGGGTTACCGTATTGATATCCCTGGTAATTTCTTTCAAACGTTTTGAAACCGCTTCCGGCATATCTTTCTGATACCTTCCTCCGATTACTTCAGACAGGAATTTTTCTGTTTCAGCATACATGGCCATTCTGTTCACTGGTTTATAAAAGCCGTGTCCTTCATCATCGGCTAACAGATAATTTACTTTTTTGCCTTTTTCACGAAGTGCAACTACGATTTGATCCGCTTCCGCTTGCTTTACCCTTGGATCATTAGCGCCTTGTATAATCAGCAGTGGCTTATTGATTTTATCTACACTATATAGCGGACTCGCTTCTTTAATTCTTTGCTTTCCGGCTTCGGTTTTAGGATCACCAACCATGCCATACAGGAAGGCTCTTCCTGATTCCCAATAAGGCGGAATAGATTCCAATAAAGTGAAGATATTGCTCGGACCTACGATATCTACGCCAGCTGCATACAGTTCCGGTGTAAATGCCAATCCGGCGAGAGTTGCATAGCCACCATAACTTCCGCCCATGATGACAATGCGGCTTTTGTCTGCAATGCCTTTTTCAATCAGATCTTTTACACCCCAGGTAACGTCATCCTGCATCAGTTTTCCCCATTGCAAATCACCTGCATTGAGAAACTGCTTTCCATAACCACCACTCGCGCGGAAATTCGGTTGCAAAACGGCATATCCGCGATTGGCCAAAAACTGTACCTCCGCGTCATATCCCCAGTTTTCTCTGACACCTTTAGGGCCTCCGTGTACCAATACAATCAAAGGCAGGTTCTTGCCATTGGAACCGGCAGGAATCGTCAGGTAGCCAGGAATTTCCAGCCCATCGCTGCTCTTGTAGGAAACAGGCGTCATAGAAGCCAGGTGCGCTTCCACCTTTTTAAGTTCAGGATTCGGCGTATACTGGAGCACGAGCTCTTTTGTTTTTGTATCAAAGAAATAAACCTCTGAAGCATATTTGTCACCCCATACGGCAATTAAAAATTTAGAATAGTCTTTGGTGGAGCTGGAAAAATTCACTTCTCTTCCCGGGAACTTACTTTGCAGGTATTTGTAGTTTGCTTCCCAGGTCTTGTCTTTCCAATAGATATCCGTTTTATCAGCCGTGTAGGAAGTTGAGATGATTTTACGCGTGTTCCTGTCTATGGACAAACCGCCGAAATCTACTTTTCCTTTGGGATCACTTTCGATTTTTGTCAGCTTTTTTGTTGCAGGATCCATAAGGAAAAGTGTAGAAAGGTTCAATTCTCCTTTATTGGTCTCCAGATAAAACTTCGTATTGTCCTCGTTCCAGTCCAGAATAGAAGCTCCCTCCGTTACCGATGTTTCATAGATGGGTGTAAGTTTCTCCCCCTCCTTGTACAAAATTTTGGTGCTCCCTTTTTCGTCAGTCGTGTAAAGGATTCTTAGCTTTTCATCCCAATCGAAATCGTATCCGGTAATCCTTTCCTTGTTTTCATAAATTTTGCTCAGCTTACCGGTAGAGATTTGCAAAGAATAGAGATCATGCCATGCCTTGTCCCTATCGTTCACGCCAATCATCAGCAGATCCGGATTTTTACGGCTTACCATATAGATCTGTGCAGCTACATCTTTAAGGGGTGTAAGGTTTCTTGATGCAGGTACACCGGTCGTTGATCCCGCCATTGGGTTTACAGCGAAGACATTTGAATTTTCATCGCCATCTTTATCTTTTGTGTAAAGGATGTACTTGCCGTCCTTCGTCCAGAAATAACCACCTAGTGGTCTTTTGCTATCGGTTAAGGGACGGGCTTTTTCGAAAGATTCTTTAAAGGATTTTACCCAGATGTTCATAATGCCGTTGTACTCTTTCATAAAAGAGATGTACTTCCCGTCGGGGCTGATCTGCCCTCCTGAGATCTTAGGGTTTCCAAAAAAGAGCTCCCGGTCCAATATCGGGACTTCCTGCGCATTAACCGATTGTAATCCCAGAACCAGGATCATAAGAGAGAATAGTTTTTTCATTTTTAAAGTTTAAATGTTAGTTGAATGTCCCCTTTTCGGGATACATCCAGGAGTTTTTTGAGTTGCACCAACTTAATGCAACAATGAGGCGAATATATAGATTACTCGCAATAAGCCACTATGTTGCAACTTTATTTAACACTAATTAACTATCATTAACTTTTCATTTTCTACTATTAGGAGGAGTCCCCGTGATGATGACAATCATAATTTAGCTGTGTGCGTTTTCAGAATGAGAAATTCACCTTTTGCATGCAGGATTTGAAAGCGTTGGCATAGCCAACTCAAACAAAACCGACCGATATCGGTTTGTAATATCAAATAATAACTTACAGATTTATTTATGGATTTTACAGTAGAACTCGAGGATATGGTTGCGATGATTGTTTCCATCATCTGTGGAGGAGCAATCGGTTTTGAGCGGGAATATAAAAATAAGTCTGCCGGCTTTCGTACCATCATTCTAATTTCCCTGGGCTCTACTATCTTTACTATAGTTTCCCGCCATGGTGTTGGAGCCGACGACCGGATTTCGGCAAACATTATCACCGGTATCGGCTTTATCGGCGCAGGTGTCATTTTTAAAGACAAGATTTCTGTCAGGGGATTGACCACAGCCGCGGTCATATGGACTTCTGCTGCAATCGGCATGACAACCGGAATCGGTTACCATGCCTTGGCATTATGTCTTACCATCATCACACTTGGCGTATTATTAATGGTAACAAGAGTAGAACGGATGATTGCTCAACTGCAAAAGGAACAGCTCTTAAGCGTCACATTTCGTGATCCGGACTTTAATCAGATCCAACAACTCGAGGATACTTTAAACACAAAAGGTCTTTCCCTGGAACGGTTGGAAATCGCTAAAGAAAACAACCATTTAATGGTCATGTTCAAAGTATCCGGTAAAAAAAAGTATTTGATAGAGATGAGTGAAACGCTCGCTACCCGACCAGAAATCCTAAGTTTTAATTAATTTACGTTTGATAACCGACAGGAATACTAAATGATGGTATCTATCAATTGTTGAATAGATGGATCAAACCTTTCAGAACGCATATTGTTCAAGGCTTCATTCAACATGGCTTTCCCAAATAACAACTGCCCCTGATATTCAGCAAGATTTAGTTGCCCATTTGCTAACTGTGTTCTTATTACAGCCAAAGTAGCCCCCTGCATATCCAAATCATGAATTGCTCCGCTCCCACCTGATGCATTTGCCAATCTGAACATGAGCATCGCGTAAACGATACGGCATATCTGACGCATGATAAAGAACCTTGCCTTGTTATACTCCTTTAGACCCTCACCAAAATAGGTCTCCAGCATGAGATGCTCTTCCTGATCTGCCGCTGCAAAGAAGTTTGCCGTAATGGCGAGGTCAACATAACGGTCATTTCTAAACGCGGCATCCCAGTCTATGATCCATATTTTCTCTCCATCAAAAACCATATTATTTGGATTAAGATCGTTATGACTCGACACCTTATCGGTATCATGCCATGGATAATGTGCTTTAACTACTTCATAATACGCAAAGCAAGCGTCGAAAGCAGGGCCTGTTAACATTTGCGACGCCTTAAACTCACCAACAAGTCCATCAACGGTATCCAGTAAACTACTTTCCTTCGAAAAAAGTGGCAGCTCATGAATCGCCCGGATCGTTTTTGTAAGCTCCATTAACAAGATGCCAGGAGATTTGAAAGCATTTTGCAATGGAGTCTGCTGAATATAACCAGTAATTGTTATACCTGTATGCTTATTTAGGTGATGAATTGCTGGAGCAAGGCCAGCCTCAGCAGCAACTTCCATACAAGAATGGTCATGGATAACTTCCACAGGATCAGCTTTCAAAACATAATACTGGTCATTAACTGCAATCTTATACACTTTGGCAGCAGATAAGCCCCCAGTCAATAAAATCACCTCTTGTAATGCTGTCGTATTAAAAGTCTGCACCAAGGCGTTTTCAACGGCCACTGATATTGATGCCGGGATAAGGGAATGTAAATTTTGCATTTGATACACTAAGTAATATTGCCACCAAGGCTGGTTAACAAATCCGTTAAAAGATTCATGTCTTTTGGTTTTAAGGCCGGAATAATTTCACCGGCCAGCGTACTTGCTGTCTTTTCAGCCTCTTCAAATAACTGCTTTCCAGCTGAGGTAAGTACAACGTAACTCACTCTTGCATCGCGTTCATTTGCTTCGCGGGCTACCAGTCCTATTTTCTCCATGGGCAACAACATTCGGGTGATGCCCGAAGCAGTGAGACCAATCTGATCTGCCAGATCTATCCTTCTCATTTTTCCAGCGGCCGACTGTTGCAAGAGGTAAAGGATCATAAAGTCATTAAACCCTATGCCATGAATATTTAAGCGATCGAATCTCCGGGAGATCACAGCCTGTACTTTGGCGAGGTTCATTAGTGTTTTTAAAGCGGGGTTTATTACAAACATATACTTGACTAGTCAATGATTATGCAATAATAACATTATTTATTCATTAACCTATCCTTTTCTTTATCAGCCCTGCCTTTATCGACTTTGCTTTTGATATTTTAAATTTATTATAATATATTTAGCATTGATAATTAACAAACCAACCATTCTTCGAGCCGGACCAAGCGGAATTTACATTCGGGAATGAATCATCAGGAGTATAAAAAGGCATTTGCCAATTTAAACTGTCATGATGATTCCTTTTCGAAAGGAGCTGTTTGTTTTGGCTTTTTTGTATGAAAGCTTATAACCAACTATCTGATGCCGAATTGTGCGCAGCCCTAAAGGCCAGCGATGAGCGGGCCTATACCGAAATTTATAACCGGTATTGGGATAAGATATATACAGTTGCCGTTAATCGCTTAAACGATAAGATCGAAGCTGAAGAAGTATTACAGGATGTATTTTTTAGCCTTTG